GCAGCTGCTGTGCCTGCGCCTGGGCGAGCATCTGGCAGACGGTCGTTTTGCCACAGCCGGTCTCGCCAACAAGCAGCACAGGCTCGTGGAAGCGCAGACACAGGGCAGTCAGGATGAACAGGCGGCGCATGGCCTTGGTCCAGGCGATGCCCGACTGGGCCTGGCGGTCGAAAGCCTGGAACTCGGGCATGGCGCGCAGGCGGGCCTCGGAGTACAGCGCCTCAACGTCAATTCCGGCCGAGCGCCTAGCCGCATCATAACCAGCAGCACCATCATCGCCATTGCAGCTGTTCCGCGCAGACGCCAAGCCCGAGGCTGAGACCGGGTAGAAGGCGTTCTCGATAGCGCGCTTGACCACAGCACGCTCGTCCTCCGTGCGCGTGCGCTCGGCAATCAGCATAAAGCCGTGCTCGGCCAGCTCGGCCTTGGTGGTGGCGTGGCGGTTGGCCCAGCGGAACAGGTCGCGCAGCGTGATGAAGCCGTGGGTCGCTTCGAAGATGCGAGTCTGCGCGCGCACCTGGGTCAGGTTGCGGTACACGTCGACGAGCAGCTTGGCGTGGGTCGGTGGCACGCGGCAGCTATCGACGATGATCTGCTGCAGCTCGCGCTCAGGAATGTCGTCGAAGTGCAGCTCGACAAAGCGGTTTCGGAAGGCACGCGACAGCGCCTTGCGGCCGCCGTACAGCCCGGCCGGGTTCTGCGTGGCGAACAGCATAAAGTGCGGGTGCGGGCGCACGATCTCCTGCGTCTCGGGGATGACCAGCTCGCGGTTATCGTCGAGCAGCCGGTTGAGCGCCTCGAGCACGTCCGAGGGCGCCAGGTTGAGCTCGTCCAGAACCAGCCAGTGGCCGTGGCGCAGCGCCTTGACCAGAAGGCCCTCCTCGAAGACCAGCTTGCCGTCGACAGACGCGTACGAGCCCAGGTACTCCTGCAGGTCGGTGTGCTCGTGGTTGTTGATGCGCACGAAGCGGTGGCCGGTGCGGCGGGCCAGGTACTGCACCATGCTGGTCTTTCCGGCCGACGTCGGGCCCTGGATCAGCACCGGGTAGCGGCCGCACATGACGGCGCGCGCCAGCGCACGGATCTTGGCATCGACCGACGGCGTCAGCACGTAGCCGTCGAGGTCGCCGGGCTCGTCGCCGTCGGCCGCGGCCGGCAGCCAGAAGCCCTGCACCAGCGCGGCAGCAGCAGCGCCCGACGAAGAGGGCGACGGCTGCGGCGGCGCCTGCGCAAGCATCTGGCGCAAGTTGTCCTCCGAAAACACGGCGGCGTGCAGCTCGGCCAGCAGCACGGCCTGCGTGGCGCTCTCGAGCTGCGTGACAAAGGTCATGCACAGCCCGTCGTACAGCGAGCGCTTGAGCGAGTAGGCCGGCGCGTTCTCGCGCGCGTACGTCAGGGCGCGCGTCAGCGTGCGCAGGCTGTAGTGCGGGCGCTGGTTGGCGCCGTCGACCAGGCGGTGGTCGGCGGCCAGGCGCTTGGCGGCGCCGTAGAAGGCGATGATGCGGTGGCCGAGCGCCGGCGGCGCGTTGGCCGGCAGGTGCGCGCGCACGATGGCCATCAGGTCGTCGGCGCTGGCGTCGGGCGGGTGCACGAAGAACTCGGTGAAGCCGCTGCGCAGCCCAGGCGGCAGGTCGCGCTTGCCGACGTCGTTCGACGGGTTCATGCAGCCGAACAGCCGGAAGTCCGCGTGGCAGCGGATGCGCTCGCCGGTCTCGGGCAGCAGCAGCGAGCGCTCGCGCTGCAGCAGCCCGCCGAGGCACGCCAGCGTCTCGGGCATCGCCAGGTTGACCTCGTCCAGCAGAATCCAGCCGCCGGTGCGCGCCGCCTGCACCAGCGCGCCCTCGACGAAGCTGAACACCATGCGCGCGCCGCGCAGGCTCTCGAAGTGCTCGGCACGCTCGGCGAACGCCGCCCACTCGAGCCGCAGCGCCGGCAGGTCGGCCGCGGCCAGGCGCGCTCGCTTGGCGCGGCGCAATCCGGCGCAGCGTCGGCGCGCGCCGGCGTCGGCGTCGGCGGCAGCGGCAGCGGCGTCGGCGGCAGCGGCCGCTGCGTCCAGCACCGCCGCGGCCATCTTGACCGCGGCGCCGAACAGCCCCGACAGCCGGCGCCAGTCGCGCTTGGCGTACGCGACGCGCACAGAGTCGAGGAACGCGGCGTTCTTGCGCACCGACACCGTGCGCGCAAACAGCGCGTCGAACGCCTCGCGCAGGCGCAGCGCCACCAGCGCGGCGTCGACCGGGCGGAAGCCGCCGAGCAGGTCCGACGCGTCGCTCTGCTGCGACAGGTTGAACACGGCCAGCGGGCGCCCGGCCAGCGCCGCCAGGTGCTGCACCACGGTGGTCTTTCCGGTGCCGGTCTCGCCGGCCAGCAGCACCGGCTCGGCCAGCTGCACGCAGGCGGCGATGCGCTCCAGCAGGCAGCGCGCGTGGCGCGTGTCGGCGAACGGCATGCGCTCGGCGACGGCGGCGCCGGCGGTGGCCACGGCCGCGCGGCCAATGCGCAGCTCGCCGCCGACGCGCGCCGTGGCGGGCGCGTGCTGGTCGGCGAAGTGGTCGACGCGCGCGCGCGCGACGCCGAAGACCGCGCCGATGCGGACCGCCAGCTGGCGCCAGCGCGCGTAGTCGGGCTCGCGCATGGCGAACGCGTCGACGGCCTCCTGGAACACGGCGAACGCGTCGGCCGCGCCGCGCGCGCTCAGGCGCCGGCACCACTTGACCAGGTCGCGCGTGCTCAGCGCGATCTTGGCGTCGGCGACGGCCGCGGCCACGCGCGCGAACGCGTCGGCCAGCGCCTGCGCGCGCGGCGCCAGCGGCGGGAAGACGCCGGCGACGATCAGCGGCGCCTCGGCGTCCAGCGCGCCGACGGCCAGGCGCGTCCACATGCTGCTGCCCAGCAGCCCGTCGACGCGCGCGGCGCCGCGGTGCGTCGACAGCGTGGCGAACAGCCGGAAGCGCAGGTGCGCGCGCACGGTCTCGCCGCGGCTGGCGACGAACAGCGTGTGCGACTCCAGCAGCGGCACCAGCGTCTGCACGACGTCGGGCGGCGCCAGGTCGATGTCCTCGACCAGCACCCAGTGGCCGCGCCGCACGGCCGCCGTCAGCAGCCCGGCGCGCCACTCGAAGTCGCCGGCGCGCTGCGTGGTCACGTAGTTGCCCAGCAGCACCTTGGCGTCCATGCTGCTGCTCAGGTGGATCGTCACCAGCGCGTGGCCGGTGCGCCGCGCCGCCCACTCGACCAGCGCCGTCTTGCCGCTGCCCACCGGCCCGGTCAGCAGCACCGGCTCGCGCCGCGACGTCGCCAGCGCCAGCGCGTGCACGCTGTCGCGCACGGCCGGCGTGAGCACGAACGCGTGCGCGCCGCCGGGCTGCGCCGCCGTCGCGTGCAGAAGGACGCCGCCGACGCTGGCCACGCAGCCGCTCAGCGAGTCGGCGTCGAGCCAGCGCCCGCCGCCGCCCCGCGCGCGCCTGCCACAGCCCGAGCGCCAGCCCGAGCCGGCTCTGCGCGCCATCGCGCGCTGCGCGTCGTGTCGAACCGCCGCGCGCCATGCACAGCCCACGCGCGCACGGCCGCGGCCGCCGGGGCGCCGACGCCGAGCCGCTCGACGATGCGCAGCCGCCCGCGGTCGCCGAGCCCGCGCACGGCGCACAGGCACTCGGCGGCCAGCACGCGCAGCCGCTCGCTGGCTGCGCCGGCGGCCGCGGCGGCGGCTGGCGCCATCAGCGCGACCAGCGCCGCGGCCCAGCCCCACGCCGCCACGTCGGTGGCCGTCTCGGGCATGCGGCGCAGCAGCCGCGCGGCCACGGCCACCAGCCGCAGCGCCGCGGCCACGTCCCCGGCAGCGCACTTGGCCTGCGCCATCTGCGCCAGGCAGGCGGCGGGCGCCGCGGCGTGGCGCTGGAAGAACGCCATCACCAGGCTGCGCACCTGCGGCGCCGTGGCCGCCAGGCAGCCGCTGGCGTACGCGACGCTGACGAGCGCGCCGGCGCCGTCGACGTGCGCGCCCAGCTGGTGGAACACCTTGGCCGGCGCCTCGGCCAGCGTCCACCGCGCGACGAGCTCGACGAGGATCGGCCGGAACACAGACGCCACCAGCACCGTGAACTGCCCGTCGGCCCACGCGCCGCCGCCCGCCTCGGCCTCCAGCGCCGCGGGCAGGTCCAGGCCCTCGGCGAGCAGCAGCGCGGAGACGCGGTTCAGCACGTCGTCCGCCGACTGCCCGCTGCTGCTGGCTTTGCGCTGTCGGCGGCGGCCGCCGCCCACTTTGTGAGTCGCCGCAGGATCGGCTCTGCCGCTGCCGGCACGCCGATGCGCTGCGTGTTCAGCTGTGTTGCCAGGTGTGCAATGGCCCGCGGCAGATCGATGCTCAGCGGATCAATGTCCGTGATCATGAGGCACTCCTCCATGCTCATGCGCGCTGCTGCGTCCTTTTGCTCGTTGCTCGAGCCTGTGTCAACTGTCTCTGTGGCTGCGGCCGAAGCCGGCTCTGTGGCTGTGGTCGAAGCCGTCTCTGTGGCTGCCGCTGTGCCGTGCCGATGCCGATGCCGATGCCGATGCTGATGCTGATGCTGATGCGGAGGCGGAGGCGGAGGCGGAGGCTGTGGCGAGATCGAGCTTCTCCAGCCCGCGCTCGACAGAGTCGACTGCCATCGACCGCTGCTTTTGCTTTTGATTTTGATTTTGGTCTGTTGGTCCCATGAGAAGCCGTGATATCTGCTCGGATAATATGTTTTTTGCCCTTGTCAATGCTGGTATGAGCAAGTCCGGCTATGAATAGGGTGTAGAAATAAAATAAAAAAGTTGACGAAATTTACAAGTATATTATATAATAGACACCTAGTTTTTCTGCGCAAACATGAGGAAATAGCAAGCGAGCAAAATAGACCACCCACTTTTTATATAGGGTTAAGCTTTTACTTTTCTATTTTTTTTTGCTTGATCCAGGCGATCGGACTCGATCAAAAAAAAAAGATGGATGGGATGACTTGGAAGTTAAATTCGAATTTTTTCTTTCTTCTTCCTTGGCTTTTTATCTTTTCCGACTCTCCGACTCACATATACATACATATGCGTGTCGGCTCATCAATTGAGCCGGCGCTTTTTCACACACATTGCGCGTCTCGAAAGCAAAGAAAGCCACCCCGTATTTCGCGCGTTCCTTTTTGCCGCTTGACAACTAGACCAAATGGCCGATTAGCACCACTTTAAAATAATAAGCCCCCCGTTTCTGTTGCAATTTGAACCACGTTCCTTCATTATTTCTCCGTTTTGCACATTCATTTTCCGATAAATCATTCACATACACACAACCAATGGCGTTTTCACCCGCAATACCCCCACCACGGCCAGCTCATTGGACCCGCTGGACCTCCTGCGGCAGTACACCACACAAAAGAAGCCGGTCGAGCTGCTGGACAAGGACGGCAACCTGACGACAGACCTACTCACAGCAACCACCGTTCGCTTTGGCGAAGACGCCTCATTTGCACGCGACACTCCCACAAGCTACCTGCGCAGCAACAGCGACTCCGACCAATACACGCTCTCTGCGCTTATGCACTTCCTGGACAACCGCGACCAGAGCTTCTACGACTACATGAAGACCGCCAGCACTATGGGACTGCAGGCTGTGTCTTTTGGTGACCGCGGTGCACTTGTGGACTACCTCACAGGGAAGACCCCAGTGGCACCCTCTTCGGCACATGCTGGCGAGAAGCGCGCGGGCGAGGATGGCGGTATTGGCGGCAGTGGGAGCAATGAGGCTGGCCGGCGCACCCGCGCGCGCACCCAGGCACCGGACGACGCTGTGCTGGCCAGCGACCCTGCCAGGGATATTATGCGGCGCGAGCGCTCGCTGGTGACGACGTCGTCGGCGTTGAGTAGCGGAAAAGCTTTGCGCGCGTGCCGGATCTCATCAAGGAGCTCAACCCGTCAAAGCACGCCAAGCCTGTGACGGACGCCGCCAAGCCGCCGGGCGCTGTGCGGCGGCAGAGCCAGCGCAAGCGCGCCAACCCCATTATTGTTGTGCCTGCCGCCACAACCGCCATGATCAACATGTACAATGTCCAGGCGCTTCTCGGCGAGCACAAGTTTGTCGATAGCCGCGTGGTTATGGAGCAGGGCGGCGCGAAGCCACGCGAGATTCTTATTGACCATGTGTTGACGCGCTCGTCGACCGAGCAAACCCTCAAGTTCAGAGTGGTGGACTCGACCCAGGACTTTACTGACGCGATTGGAACAGCCTGGTGTGTGTATTTACGCAGGGCGCCGCGTGGCAGTTTAAGAACTGGATTTGGAAAACGCCCGAGGACGTGTTCAACAACGCCATGGGGCTGTATCCAAAGTTCAACGATGAAAAACCCAAGGACTCTATCAAGACCTGGGGCATTTCGTTGCTCAATATTGAGCGGTCTAAAAGACACATGGACCGCGCTACTATTGTTGGTCTGTGGAATAATATTGAGCAATACTTGGCGCGCCAAAAACCCGATTTCCTCGTTTAATATAATGAAGAAAGCAAAATAAACAAATATATTGAAAAGTTATTGAATATTTTGCTTATTTAGTATAAATTTCCTGAACTCGATATGTCTTTGCATCGACGCCTGCTATCCGGCTACTATGTCCACATTGGGAGCAATCAGACCGCTAAACCGATATGCCGTCGGGTCATTGACAATGCCCACACGTGCCTCAGCCACGGTCGAATAATACAGCCCTGTAATTCCCACTAGCACAGCCAGGGGAGCGCTAGGCTGCTCGCTGAACGCGATAATCGGGTCACCACCGAGATAATCCACCAAAAGCGACTGCTCCTGAACCGGCTGCGTGCACAGCAGTCCCATCTGCTGATGGTCAGGCAACATCAGTTTGCACGACTCCTGGTTCCCCTGCGTTATAGTCAGCATTGGATTCCCGTATGCTTCCAAGGTATTAAAAGTCGTCAGCACAGTTTCCAGCGGCACAGTGGCCAGTGAGTTGAGCACAACGGGCATTACTGTGGAGTCGAACTTTAGAGGATCCTTGAGCCGGATAAATGCCAAGTTGGTTGTTATGTCCATCTGGATGTTTTCGACCAAGTTACTCGTGGTTATGTTTGTGGGTTCTGGCTCGAAGCGGCTGTCGGTGCCAGACACAATGACCCAGCTGCCCGGGCCGTATTGCTTTAGCGGGTAATCGCTTTGCGCGCAGGACGCGCTGGTTAGTAGGATGGTTTCTGTCACTATGGTTGCTGCGCAGCGCCGGTGGAAGCTGCCTGTGTCGGATACCCAGAATAGTCCGATATGAACCTTGTGGTTGAGAGTTTGGCCGAAATGATTTGTGCGCTGTTGTCTGCCACTGATGCCTGCATTTGCGCCTGTGCTGTGGTCAGTACAGCTAGGGACAGAGCGAGTATACCCAATAGGCTACCCAGCATTGTCTGATAATAAATATATAAAATGAGAATATGTCGGGCGTAATAAAATAAATAATGATACAGAAATAAAGAATATTAAACCAAAAACAATGTAGTGTTGGGTATAAGAAATAGGTTGGCTGTATTAGTTTTCTCTACACCAAGCTGTCTTTTTTATTTCAATTGTCACATTTTCAATTAAAAAAGAAACATGTTTCTTTGTATTGTTTTCTTTTTATTGCTGCTACAAAGATAAAAAAAATATTTATATAGTAGAATAGAATTCTGCTTAAATGTGAGATAACTTGCACTCACGCACTCACACATCATCCTTGGCAGACATTAATCCGCTTAATAAAAATTGGACACTACTTTGATAACTATGTACAAAATACATGAACAATTTTTTAAGAGAAAATAGATTCATTGAGCGAGATATATATATATAACTAGTAATAAACTAAAACCAAAGTTTATAAATGAGATTGATTGTCTACCATGCCACCTTGTCATGGACCGATATCTCCTGACGCTTGCATCGAGAAAGTACGGAAAGTACGGAAAACAAACTATTCCCATCATAACTGTGTCGTTTTTTACTATAAATTTCCAAATCACCAGGCTGCTGCTGATCAACGGGTGTGCCGATCTTCAGCACATATTCCAATCATAATATCCAAACCTTGCTGCGCAAGAAATGCAGGAAGAAAAACAAGGCAATGGATGTGCCATGGACATATAAATATTTGTGCCATCCCCACTCAAGCTCTTTTATTTGTTTTTTTCTCCTCCTCTATTCACATTTTTTATTTTAATATCGACCATCCTCTTTTTTCACCTCAACATGACTGCGCTTTCGATATTCCAAACTCTCCCCTGGCACATTATTGAGTCGGTTGTTGAATTCCATATTAACACGTTTACTATAAATTACAATTCCACAAAACTCTTGCGGCGTCTATTCTCCACAGCTGCCATGGATGGCGCTCTACTTTTATTAGGAAAACGTGCAGCTTATCCATCTAGACTTTAGAAATCATTTACCCTTTCATTTTCATTTTCATTCCCAATTGGCCAAGAGCCCTTAAACAGCCAGATATTCTGGAAGGCTGTTTCGTAAAAGCTGTCCTTGTTCATATGGATATGTTGAATTTAATTATGGATGATGGTGCGCTTCTCCAACTTTCACAATCCCTCTCATTGACTTTGTTTTCTCAGCTGCACTCACACTCCGCTTTGAAACACAAATCACTTCTTATTTGATGACTGCGTCTATTAATTCAGCTGTCGGTGTGCAAAATGCCACTGCGGTTTTCCGCAAGATAAGACAAATGACACCGACTATCCAGAAAATTGACGTATTATGGCCCGACTTTCCCTATCAGTACACTGGCGGGCAATCCACATATTTCTTGACCGGCTTACAGAGGAGTTGTTTCAAGGAGTGAACGGAATTACCATTCGGCAAATTTGTACCAGTGTATATTATCCTCGTGGCCTAACATCTGCTGTGCCTTCGGGCGTGACTTAATTGGTGTTTGGGGGAGTAGCGATTCTGTGTGGATTGCCGAATCCATTCAGCGGAATGTGGCATCGCTGAAAACTCTTTCTTTGAGATACCTGATATACAGACAGCAACCGCACTGTTGCGCAATGCCCAGGGAGCTCCGTCATATATCAATACTTGGAGTCTTTTGAGCATATATTCAGAGACAACCCGGATGTATCGGCTGTATTGGAATCACCAGCAGCAGCGGCGGTGTCACAACCCACAAATACGATCATTTACTTTCCCGCACTCAAATCTTTCAAACTCAGTGGCCCTTATCCGTTTGTTGATGATGCTCCGTTCAGAGGCAACAGCCGGACGCTAGAGAGACTGGATATCAACATTAATGAGCTTATTGACATTGCAGACAAATTCTGCATTTTTACAGGCTGCAAATTCTCAAGCGTGCAGTACATTGGTCTAACATATGTTACTCCATACCTTATTACCAGACAAGACCTGGAAACGAGATTTCGGGAGTTTCTTCAGATTTTACCAGCACCCGCGCTTCAACTCGGATCCATGCATTTAAACTTCTTGCACATGTGGACAGGATATGATGTTCAAATATATACAGAAACTCTCAGTCTCGAACCGTTGCAAGTCATAGAATTTCCAATATTGTCGCTGGAGTTTGCGGACATTGTTGCTATTATGCGACATGCGCCTTATTTCCAAAAGCTGAGTTGCTTGCCAACAAATGTTGCGCCAGTATTGACAGAATTGGCGACAAGAAGATTTGGCGCCATGTCAATGGCATCAGTGGTACTTTTGGCAAGCATTTCCGTGGTTGACGCTTAACACCGGAAGCAGGACAATGACAATGAATGGGTCAAAAACAGTCGCGCTCATTACCATGCCTGTCCGCAGTTCATAGGAGTGAAGCTCAGCCTCTTTGACAGAAGAAAATACAAGAACATCGATCGGTTGGCTGGCTATAAATATTTATCCGAGTTTGCAGAGCGCTTCAAATTATTTAGTTTTAGATTCCCTTTTATTTGAATTAGTATGTACAAGCCATCGCACAAGTACTTCAGATGACGTGCGGGGATTATCGACATGAGCACAGACACGCATGCCAACTGATCAATGCAAGGGAATGCCGGCGATTGCGTGCCATTTTGACTGGTCAAGAAAAAATGGCAATTTTTTTGGATGCAAATCGCCTAATCCTAAATATTTATTATTCCAACTCAACAAAAAGAAAAAAATCTTTTCAAAAATTTTTGAACACAAAATTTTCTCGTCGTTTTTTTGCGCCCGCGCGTCCTTCTTTTGTTCTTACTTTCAAAAATAAAATTACACACGTTTTTTAACACATATTCTCACACAAAATTTAACAATGCTTGGTGAGTATTTGGCTCCCTGCTGAATCGCAGCGTTATGTGAAGATCGAATGGCGGATTTTCTTCTTATAATCTTTCCTGAGGAGACGATGGAGAGAAGAGGAATAATATACTTGATCCGTGCTGTCCCCCCCCTGAGCCCCCTGCACCATCTCGATTTTCTTGCTAAAACTACACTCACTTTACATGCATCCGTAACTTTCTATCTTTTTTACAACAACGTCAGCCCACAACGTCGAATCCCGCGTCATCAAGGCCTCCATCGAGAGCGTCTGGGCTACCCTGAAGACCCAGGACTTTGGTTTCTGGACCCTGGTCAAGTCTACCGAGTCTGCCTTCAGCGCCGCCGAGGTTGGCAGCACCCGCACTGTCACCTTCACCGACGGCGCTGTCCAGGTCTACCGCCTGGTTGAGTTCTCCGAGCTCAACAACTCGCTGACCTACGAGATTATCGAGTCCGAGCCCGCCATGAGGGTTCTGTCCGCCACCCACCGCATCCGCGCCTTCCCCGTGTCTGCCGACAACACCACCTTTGTCCAGTGGACTAGTGAGTTCGCCTCCGAGGGTGCTTCGGAGACCGTCCAGGACTCCAAGTACAAGAAGCTGGAGGCTCTGGCCGATCTGGCCAAGGCTCTTGAGAACTAAATTTTTTTTGCTTGATTAGTTTTCTGCACAGCTTGTTTTCTTCTTGCGTATGATATTGCGCTAATAAAAAATTTTCTATCAAAAAAACCGATGTTTCATTATGCGCCCTAGGCTCTTATTTTTTCCCCGTAAAAAATTTTGAGTATCGAGATTCCCCCCATTCCTTATTACAGTTTCGCCGGTCCCATCTTTGATTTGTGAACCGCTCTATCTCCTTGATCGATCACCGTATCACATGCGGAGATCCCACAAAAACAATGTGCTTATATCGGCCAAAATCGCAGCAAAAACGACTTGATCGAGTTTTCGGCCATCTCGCTTGCTCACAGGTTATACAATTCGCACACCTTTTAGCTAAACCATTCCGCCTTTCAAAAGTCATTACCATCAATAAAAATGACCAACGCATCCACCGACAGCCAGCCAGAGTACATTGTTGTCAGCCCAATACTGCGGCTGCTCAACCACGCATTTGCGGGAATAACCGAGACCCCACGCATCGCAGTGCGCGTCAAAAAGGATACAACGACGTCGACTACGAGCCCACAAAGCTGTGGCTTAAGCGCACAACAACAGTGGTTCTGCTTGGCATTGCTGCGGGAACACTGTGGTATCGGCGATTGCAGTTGCAGAGGGTCAATGGGCTGGTATCACTGGCCGGTGCCAGCCGCCCGGTGCTGTCTGGCATCGTGTGGACTGCTGGCATCGCTGGTGCTTTGAATGCGCGCCCGCTGAAAATGGAGAGCGATGACGCTTGATAATCGAGACACATGGTGCGTATGTATCAGGCTTTGATGAGTTTCATTCTTTTTTAGTTTATTTAATGCTATGAATATACACGTTCAAGTTTTTGATGTAAACTACACAGAACAGTCGTTCTCGCGAGAATACACTGGCTCTTTTCGTTTTTTAGTTTTTTTATATTCTCGCCTCTTTATTTTGCATTACACGCTCCGCAACAATGGACAACGCCGATGACAGCCGCTGGTTCGACGAGGCTCGATCCTTTTTTGTGAAAGACACTGGCGCAAAGCGCACTCTTGACCGCGTCCGAATGCCTCCAGCAAAGCGTATTGTAGCACAGCTGCTTTCCCTCTTCGTATGTCTCTGCCTCTAACGCAGCGACGACGACTGAAAGCAAATATTTAACCAAAACCAAGCGCCCACATGTTGCCTCACAAGCAGCAGCCATAGCAGCGCCGCTAGCGCCAGCGCCCGCTGCACCCTGCACATATGACAATGTAGTCGCTGTGAGCGATCTTCCCCCAGAATTTGCCTCAACATACCCGTTTGCGCACTTTAACCGGCTGCAATCGGCTTGCTTTTCAGACTTGTTTCGCGGAGATTCCAATATGGTGATCAGCGCGCCCACAGCATCGGGCAAGACAGTACTGATGGAGCTCGCCATCTGCCGACTGTTCAGCCGGCAGAAACAGCATAGCCAAAATCCCAGCTCTTCTATCCGGTCAGGGGCTGTACCTGGCTCCGCTCAAATCGCTGTGTGCTGAAAAGACAATCGATTGGCAAAAAAAGTTTTCCAAATGTGGTCTGCAGTGCACCAAAGTGGTCGGCAGCAGCGATGCAGCAGCGTCGGCCGAAGAAGCGTCGGCATCGGATGCGTCTGTCTTCAGATCACACGTTATATGCGCGACGCCGGAAAAGTGGATATCGGTGGTGCGAGGCATGGCAGCACCCGCAAGCACAACGTTCTTGCAATCCATTGCCCTTGTTCTTATCGACGAGTGTCATATGGTGGGCACCGACCGCGGCGCGTCCTTGGAAATTGCTGTCTCTCAAGTCAGGCACTACAGCCGGGATGCACGGTTCGTAGCGACTTCCGCCACTATCGGAAACATTGGTGATATTTCAAAATGGCTCTCCAGTCGCCGCTATGGCAGCAGCGCAACGAATGCGCAGCTAGAATCAACGGCTAAAACGCTTGTTTTTGGCGAAGACTACCGCCCTGTCCGTCTGTCAAAGATTGTGCTTGGATTTGCTTGCACCACACCTTACTACAAGTTTCAGCGAAACCTCGACTTTAAGCTTCCTGGAATCATCAACGCGCATTGTGCTGGGCGCTCTGTGCTTATTTTCTGCTCGACCAGGAGCTCGGCGCAGGAGACCTGCCGCCACATATCGCGCAACATCGGCCAGTTGAATCGCCAGCCCATGCCGCTGCATCTCACGTCGCCATTCACCAACCAGCTACTCAATGACACTGTGCCTCTGGGAATTGCTTATCATCACGCAGGGCTTTCAGCCAGCGACCGCTCACGTGTCGAGAGTCTGTTTACAAGCGGGACGATCCAAATACTGTGTTCGACATCAACCTTGGGAATCGGCGTAAACTTGCCCGCGTACGCAGTCATTGTCAAGGGCACCAAGGGGTACGCTGACAGTGACTATGTCGAATACTCGACGACTGAAATTGTGCAGTTTATTGGCCGAGCTGGGCGCCCACAGTTTGGACCCGCTGGAAAGGCCGTGATTCTTACCGAAAACAGCATGGTGACCATGTACCGCAATTTGGTCTCCGGCAACGATGTTCTTGAAAGCAGTCTGGACGCCGAGCTTCCGCGTGCCATTCTGTATGGTGTTTTCAAGCGCGAATTGAACTCTATGGGTGACGTGGAGGAATGGCTGGAGAACAGTTTTATGGCTGTCTGCGCGAAAAGAAGTCCTAGCCAATATGGAGCGATGGGCGCCAACATTGCATGCTCCCAAATTGCGGCCAAACATGTTGGCGTTCTTGTACGGGCGGGCTTCTTGTTGAAGAGACGCAGTCCCCACTGCAACTTCAAGGCCGTCTTGGTTTATCTGTGCTCGGCAGGTCCGTGGCCAAATACGAAGTTGATCCGATACGCATGGCGCAGGCTCTTTCTGCGATCAGCTTCCGTCAAGTCCCAGCCGCCGACAAATCGTAAGTAAGAACCTCGTTCAACCATGTTGACTACAAATTTTGCAAATATGGCATTGTAACTGCCATTAACATTGAGATTGAGATTGAGATTGCATTTGGCTGATATTATATTGACATTAATTTGTTGTCCTTCCTGCGCACAATATAGTTTGAGACTATTTGCGCCAGCGGAGAGTTTGGCAACCTTAAAATTACAGCAGGGCAGAAGGGTGTGCTCAACGAAATGAACAAAGTCCATGGCTGCGGTTCAAGCTATCTGGACGCGTGCAGACGATCCGCGACAAAGTGTTAATTTTGATTCAGGTAAGTATGAAAAAGGGGCGATTATGTTGGGCGAGCAGCATTTGTTATGTGCAAATATACACAATAATATTAAATTACTACTACTACTGTATTTATTTATGTATGCCAAAAGTGTAGTTTGGAATTCAGTGCAAGCCAGTTCCGTCAGGAAAGTTTGCGCCTGGGCTGAGCCAGGATATGAGTCGAGTTATTAAGCTAGCTTATGGCCCAGCCATGTGCATCCGCGACTGCTATGCTGAGCGAGGCGATGCTCAGGGAGTTATCAGTGCAACGGTAATGTAAGTGCGAAATAAAATGCAAAGGATGATGTGTATAGTCCATTAAGCGATATTCATTTGGCTTTACGTGTTTGACTTAAAATTTCTTTCGATATTTATTTTTAAAAATCTGTAGATGTCGTGAGCTAGCGGCCAAATGCGGCGAGCAAGTGCCTGCTCTGTTGCAGCAGGTAGATGGCATTGGTCCGCGCTATGCTGACATACTGTGGAGCCAGAATATAACGTCAATCTGGAACTTTGCAAGACCACGGCCCGCAACATCGAGTATATGGTCAACCGCAACCCACCATTCGGAACTCGCGTATTGGCAAGCGCTGCGGCTCTGCCAACATGCTCGGTGGATATGAGCTCGTACTGGATGGACGCGCGCAGCATCGTATTTACGATTAAAGTGAGCTGTTACAGCGACGATCGCCTGCTCGATGGAGGTGTAAAAGCTGCGGCGTTTGAAAAGGCTGCGAAATTCACTATTGTGGCCCACACCACTGACGGGATATTGCTAAAATTTGAGTCTGTCGAGGTTTCAACCCAAGCCGCTTACTATGAGACGCAGATTGGTCTATGCAACCCAGTGCCTGGCTCGAGGGTGGTTGTGGAGGTTGCTCCAGAACGATTTGGTAAGCTGAAATTTGTGCATATTGAATGTTAATAAGCCGAAAAACAGAAGAAAAACACTAAATCTCCTGTGGCAGCCAATTTGTTTTTTATTAACACATTTGTAGTTGGATGCAGCAGACAAGCGGAGTTGGAAATCCCAGACTACGAGACCAGCTTTGAATTACAGTTTACTAATAATCAACAGCACACGCCGGTCGACAAAGAAATGTGCTTGGATGCGGACATGAGCAAGTACGACGACGTTTTAGAGGACTTGTTGGCACAAAGCAATTTCAATGATATGTTAGATTCCATTTCGGACTTTAATCCATACCCCAGCGCTAGTCACTCGCCGACTCGTGACATTGAATTAATAGATTTGACTGTCAGTCCGCCATCGGGTCTGTTTTAAATAGGAATTTCGTTTCATAATTTATTCAACATTTCATTTTTAAAAAAGTAACAATGTTTTGAAATATTTTAATACCTGACAGATATTTCCTTTTGCAAACTTTAGATGGATGTCATCAAGTGGCTCCCTACGAAACCTCACATTGTTGAACTCGCAGCTTTAAATACTGACTTTATTTTCCAAACAGCACGTGCAAGTCTTAATGTGCAAGTTGAATCTATTGATGCCCGCGTAATGGTTACCGCAAACGGCGCAAAACATTGGCTGTGGTTGCAACGGCTCAGAACGATTGTTTCTCTTCGTAGATTCCATTTCTAGTTAATTTTTATATTGTACAAAAAAATGCAAAAAAATACCGATAACCCAAGTTTGAGTATATGAAAAGTGTATAATTAAAAGTTTAAGATAGTAGAGAAAGGATAATAAAAATAAACCACCGTCATGGACACGAAAAAGCTACAGATTTTTGCAGTTTTGCAGTGGATAATTTTTTTACATATAAAAAAGCCAAAATAATTCAGAACCAAGTTCAAAAAATTAATAAAATAATAAGATGGCTTGGTCTTGCACTTCAATTCATTGGTCAAAATATTTGGATGCCCAGACATACAGTTAGCCACCATTTACAATCTTCATCCCTAAGCCATTTTCTATTTCTTTACCAAGCTTATGCTCAGCCGAGTTTAATATATATGATTATATTAGAGCCAGGTGGAATATAATTTGGTTGTAAGAAATATGATTCAATTTTATTCAACTGCTAAAAATACTATTATATACTATACTATGCTATTTGGCACTGGGAAATATAGTTTGAAAAGCGCCCTGTTTTGACAATTCGTGTAGTCCTGTTGATATGAACTGACTACCTTTTATTGCCTTTTTGGAAATATTATTGCCAATTCTAGTCATGCCTACCTTTGCTTTGCTTGCCATATTAATACAGATGATTATAAAAACACATAATTTATTATCTTTAAACTCTGAAAGTTTTCTATCTTTTTTGATGATTGTAAGCATTTTTGAATCGCTAATACTGATACCAATAGCATTGGTCATGTAATCCCTCTTATACACCTTAATCAATTCTTTTTCCAATCCACCGATAGTTGTATCTTTTTTAAATTTAACAGTGATTATATCTTCTTGAGATTCATTGATGGTCGTATTTTCTTTGGATATATATGTGGGCATATCATTTTCTGGTATTACTGGGCTTCCTTTATAATACACTGTTTTTTTTATTTTAGCTTTGACTTCATATTTCGATAGATTGTCGCTTGAGTTCTGAGTTTTTGTGCTCCTAATTTTTGTACTTCCAGTACGTGGACTATCGTTACTTGAGGAAGTAATCGTGCAACTCATCAATGTATATAATATTATAAAAAATATGTAGATGGTGGTGGAGGTGAACAAAATAGATATTATAGCGATGGATAATGAAGAGATTGTTGAAAAGTGGACGGCGGGTTGAACCATGGATATTTATAGTACGGCTGGGCGACCGCAATTTTGTTAGGTTAACTTTCTTTATAATTCAAATCTAAATTTAAATGCTGCCTCAAGATCATTGTAAAAAAGGAGTGAGCAAAAAAATATAAAGTCAAAGTTTCAATTTTAAATTGAGGAAGTAAACTGGAATTGTATAAATAAAAGCTAATAATAGGTGAGCCCCGAGTAAGCTAAAAAATAAAAATAATAAAGTGCAGTATGCATCTGCTGTATACTTTTTTTATAAAATATTTTAACCCATGTATTATTTATTTGTCGGATGCCAGTGACAGCAGCTGTTTGGGGACGAGTTTAGACTTTCTGCGAAGCTTTCTCGTACCGGTTGACGCCTTGCTAGACAAAATTGACTGCTGTTGTTTTTCGGCAACCGAGACCTCGCGGCTGCTCAAACTGCCACTATGTGGCAAGGACACTTGCATAGAACGAGGTCCAGCAACAGGGTGCAGCTTGGGGTCAAAACGCAATGTCATTTCAGTCACCTCTCTATATCCCTGAGATACCTTGCAGGGGGGGTGGAAAACTGGCGGACACCCATCTTATTGAAGCCAGAGCTGTCAATGCTGACTCGGTTGCTTGCCGATGTATCAGCAACATGCCTTAATTGGAGAGGCACTGCAGTTTTTTCAGCAACGATAGACGAAAAACCATTGGTACTCAGTGCGTTGGCAACTTGCAGCCTGAATCCCAGGATCTCGTCGGAATCATCTGTGTCGTAGCTCTGGGCACTGCTGAATATGACCTCGCTACTGATTACATCGTGCAGCCAGAGCGCAATCCTCACTGTCAGAATCCTTATGATGGAGTGTGGTCTGGCCAACATGGTCAAACTCCGAGCTAATTTCGCTCTGTGGACCTGAGCTCGTCTGCGCGTTCCATACCCAGCTCAATGCATCACCAATGTCTAGTCGACTCGGCCTGTCCAACGCTTCCGGCCTATGTATATGATGTGATGGTGGCTGTTGCTGCTGCTTTTGTTTCTCCATTTCCTGGATATTCTGCGCATGTGCGCGCAATAAATCCACCCTCGGCAGGGTAAACTTTGTTCCAAGTCCATGACCAAATCGAGCAGCAGATGGGTGCGCGGGTCTGACAGAAAAACAGGGTCGGCAACCTCAATGGCATGCAGCGAGCGGACCAAGTATGACAGCCTCGACACATGGCCAGCATACTCTTCGGCGACCAGCGGCGGCAAATAGTGCGTGGCCCTGTCGTTGACCAAAATGGATTGAGGACTGCGCGGCAAGCTGTGGGCATCTCCAGGACATACGGCTTGAATGTATCCAAGCTACTGTGCTCGCCCATAAACGAGGAAATTGGCCGGTCTATGAACTCTGTGTACTTATCGAGCAACTCGGTTACTTTTGTCGGACGGTGCAGGCGGAAGAGCGGAGACGTGATGGGCGTGGTGGTGGATAGAATATGGCGACGGTACAGGATGTCAGTCTTGGGGTTGGTGCCGCAAATCCAGCGACATAGGTCTGGTGGATTTCCGCATGTTCTCTTTGGTAGTAGCATTGAATGCGTTGACAGCCTTGTCTTGGTCGCCGACGGTTTCCTGCGATGAGTAGCTGGAATTTGAGCCGCTGCTCTGTCGGTGGTGTGTTCCTGCTGGCGCATATTTTGAAGCTTGTGTAGGCGCATTTCAGCTCAAATGGCAAGGTGCTTGTCAGGGGGATATGTGTACTAAGGTTACTGTCCTGGCCAATACTGTGGCTAATTTCCCGAGTGCTGGGACTAGTGTTGTCGGTGCTGTTGTTAGAGTAGGGTAAAATAATGTGCGACGGATGTGAAGTAGAGTTGGAAACTTGGGCAGCTATATGGCTCTTTTGTATGAACATTGTATCGTTTGGTATTTATTTGAAGAACAAAATGTGGCGTGGTCGTGGTTGTGGACGTGAGAAATAAAATTTTGGCAGTAGATAATAAAGGTGTTTAATCTAGGTCATCCAAGGTGCGGATTTATACAAAGCACTCGCTTTTATTTATTTGACCAGCCTTGAAAACAAGAGATGCAAAAAATGTGCAAAAATTTTCTAGTAAGGTAAAAAGAAACGGCATGAATTGTGAACAATGCCATATAAAATTTTTCCATCCATTCAAATGCTCACATGCTCAATAGAGATTTGCAATAAGTGCGGGTGAGAACGCATATATAAGGTATTGTTTAAAACGGAAGGGAAGCGTCAGATGAATATATGTTTCTCGTACATTTGAGATATCTTTCCATACCATATTTTAATACTCGGGCGATAGAAAAGTAGAGTATATATGATGTCAATACAAAACAATTATTATAAACGCATGTTACATTTGCAATAAATAACGTAAAGTTAAATATTGGCACAAACACAAACACAAACACAAACACAAACACAAGCCAAAAAATAACAATGGTGGAGTGCACTGCTCCGTGCATATCCACGCCATCATTGCTGTCTCAGCTGAGCAGTCGGAGGAGGAGGAGAAGGTGGTGGAGGTGGTGGAGGTGGTTGTATAAGAAGAGAAAACCTGCAATGACTAAATATAGATGCTGCGTATGAAAATAAAGTTGAAAAATGACATGACAATCAAGGCACATATTTGACATACAGATTTGAAAAAAGCCCAGCATATGATCGCCGGCTACATCTAAATGCCAAATTCAGTACCTGTTGTGATCACATTGGACACAACGTCAAATATCGATTCTGATATAATTGATTTAATTGATTCTTTATTTTAAATTAGGGCGCTTGATATGGCCGCAGAATCTGTGACGTCGACACACCTTCGCCAAAGTACCTGCGCGGCGGCTGGACGCCACCAACCTCTCTAGCCATGGACCTGGTCATTCTTTTCGACAACCCCTGCAGTACGTGGTCAATGCTGCTAATATCGATATTCTCACGCGACTGCCGCCTGGTCTTCGCGCCGGGAGGTTTTTTGGATGAGCCCAGCGCGTGCTCGGTAGGTTTCTGTCTATCGAATATATCTGACACAGGTTCGCTTTCGAGGTCCGAGAGGGTCTCTGGCTCATGCAATGATTCTGGTGTGTCAGTAAGTGCGCTAAACGAATTGAGCTCGGAGCCAGTGCCTTCAAGTGGGGATTGGACGATATCCATGCTGTGTATGCCATGTTCTAAAGAGGAAGGCGCTGGCTGGGCACTGGCGAAGTGGTGGCGTTCGGTGATGTTCAAGTTAAACCTTTCCTCTCGGCGGAAACGCGCGCGCTCTGGGTTTCCGCGATATCGCGCCTTGCGCCTGGCTTCTCTCTCGGCAAGACCTACCCGCGTTCTCCTCCTTTTTTTTATTGCATCAAGGTTGGTGTTAAGAGTTGCGCGTGAAAAATCAGTTTTTGCTGTTTGTGGTTACAAAAAATAAAGGGAAATGAGACCGGAGGGTGTTTTGTTGTTTCTGTGGAATTGAGCTTTACCTGCGGAATCTAGTGACATTAAAGTGTGAATTTGTATTTGTATTAAAAGTTGGGAGAAAAAATAACAAGCAAAGTAAATATTCATATTTTTTGTTTACTTTGGGCAAGCATAAAGGCATGGAAAAATATTAAAGTTTTTTGTCTTCTCGTGACAAACCCTAACGAGCTCAGAGTCAGAGGCACATAAATTGTACAGAGATTATTCCGACATAATATTGAAAGCAACGCACATTCCACATTCTCCAGAAATTCTCATACATTCCATTTTCTCTATCGCTCACACTATAATGCTCTTGTCACAACTGAGGCAGCAGTTCAGCGCTGCATTGCGGATGTTCAGCACAGCACGCCCGCGCAGCGGATATCAGACCGGTTCAAGATGCAATTCCGATTGCCGGGCCGCACAACCAGCGTGCTCTCTTCAGGCGTCGCCCCCACGCCAAATGACCCGATGCTGGCGCGTTCGCGGTACTTCAAGCCCAAGGGCCTAAGCCAGGGCGCCCCCATCGGACTGCTTCTGGGCTCCGATCACCGCAGGTACACGTACGAGACCAGCACGCCGGCGTTTCGGCTGATCGCCAGCCCCTGGGCGTCCAACGAGCACCCGCGCGACCACAACGCCCTGCGGCTGCGCGACTACCGCGTCACGTGCATGGCTACCAAAAAGCAGTACAGCAAGAAGGCTTACCACCGATGGCGCGCCGTACGTGTACTGCGGACGGCCGCCGCCATGGTTCTGCCGGACAAGGGCTGCGGCGGTGCGACTACGTGTTTGTGGCAGCGCCAAGATGCGCACCATGCAGAGGGACGATGTGTGGAGGGACGTTGAGCGCGCGCTGGCTGCCGTTCGCCGAAGGATCGAGCGCGAGTGGATGTCCGGCAGGCGGGTCGAGCGCCCACTGCTGGGTGCCACCGTTGAGATACCCAGAGACCCCGGCAAGCACAAGATTCTGCGCAGTGGTGTCAATGAGCGGGCAGTGCCAGCAGATTACTGCGTGTCGCGCATAATCGAGGATGCAAGTAGATTTGATTTGATTTTTTGCTTACTGATTGCATGGATTCGGGTAGCAGCCAACTGCTATGATTTGGCAGTGCGTTAGAAGTGGATATTTTTTCTCTATTGGGTCCATCGGCTTTAACTATTTAATTTATTTTGTTTCGCTTTAATTCACTTTAATTCCTTGTCTTATTTTCGCTCAAATGTCGTCAGCCCCGATTGTTCGTTCCCTGGCGGCGCTTGCAAGCAGGCGCACCGTGGCTGCCGGCGGCGTTTACTCGGCCGCCAGAAGCAGCCGATGCTCTGGCCGGCAGCAGCCATCGCGACATCAGCCATCCAGAACCGAAACTACGCGGCTACCCGCCGGCTGTCTCCCACTCCTACCAGGCCCGCAACAAAGCTCGCCCGGTGGCAACGCCGGCATCCATAGCCTCGTGCGTAGCGACCCGACCCTGCCAGGCCAGACGCTGACATTCGTGCAGAAGATCAAGGGCTTTGTGTCGTTTTACAAGTCGGGGCTCAAGGAACTGCTAGGAAACTCGCGCGCTGCAAAGGGTATCCGCCAGCGCATGCTCAACGGGCAACCGATTACACGCGAGGAGTTCCAGATCGAGCGGCGCAACCCGGGGATAAGCTGCGCATGGTTCCGTTTGGGTTCCTGGTGCTGGTGATTCCAGAGCTCATCCCGCTGACCATATGGCTGTTCCCGGGCGTGTGTCCATCGACATGCGTCACTTTCTCGCAGCTGGCGAAGATGGGCCGGAAGCAGGACGCCGCAAGGCAGGAGGCTCACATATGGGCGGTCGATCGCGTTCGTGCGGCGGGACTCGATGCCGCAGACTTTGCCCATGAATCAGCACTTCGCCAGCTCGCGGCACGTGAGGATCTGGCCGCAGTCTTTGGGTTGTCCAGAATCTCCGCGGCCGAGCTGCACCCCCTCTGCGCCTTCATGGGCGTGGCCAAGAGGAGAGCCACTGCGGATGCCCTGCGCGGGCGGCTGCAGAAGCATGTGGAGTACCTTTGTGAGGATGATCGCCTGCTGGTCAGCGAGCAGCTGGTGGATCGCCTGGGCCTCGCTGAGCTGCACAGGGCG